AATCTACATTTATTCAAATACAGTCATGTCCTATTCTTCTGGTTTCTGCACAATGGTGGGGGGTGGGATTTAACTTAACTGGGGCTTATTTTGGGGGTAGGGCTTATATTATGAGCATCCTGAAAAATCGTACTAGGGCTTATTTTCAGGTAAGGTCTTATTTTTGGGGAAACAGGGTATCAAGACAAGTAGAATAACTGTCTTCTCTTCCTAACTGTTGATTATGCTTTAACACCAAAAGCTAGTCTAAGCACGCCCGGGAAAGAATACTCACCATACATATTTCACAAAGAGCCCTGAATGTCTGCCATTTCTAGAGACTCATTGTCAATATACTTTTGCTGGAAAAAAACTGGCTGCAGTCCAAATCTCTGATCAGGTGAATGGCTATTCTCTTAGAAGCTGCAACCAGCTGAATTTCTAACAGCCAGCTAGAAATGTGTTAAATAGAAAATACAATCCCATGTGATTTGTGCATTTAACACAAATCACATGGGCATTCTAATAAGGTTCACCAACTTTCCCTGATACTGTACTGTCATTTCTATGTGACCTTGCAATCAACTCTGTTAGCTGCAAATGTAGGCTAAACAAGATAGTGTTATTAAGAAGCTAATACTTCCAAATGTGCATTATTTTAAATGGGCTGCACATTTCAAAGAGTGGGCAAAACTGTGCTGGCCCAAGTTCCCCAAACAGGGTGATCAGTCTCCTCCCAATTGTTTCATATCTAGTAGCAGGAAAGTGGTGTGTAGGTAGAAAATGTTAGTGAACAGGTAGTGGAAAGTCTCAGTGATTGGAAAGTGCTCCTGAGGACCAGCACTAACCACAAATAATTCCATAATTATGGAAGGAAAGCTCTCTAAGAGCCTCTGTTGTAGGCCCTTATTGGAAAGAAGAGACTGAAGGGCTCATAGGTTGGGAATCAACTCTTGACAGAGCAAAGAGGTCTTCCACCCTTTTTCAATGTGCGATTTAAAGAAAAAACAAGATTGCAAAGCTGGGCTGTAGCTTATCAGAAGACCACCTGGAGCTTCTGAGTAATTCAATGAAATGATTCTGTGTTGATTCATATAAGGAAGTGCAGTCTCCAGCAGCATGCAAGGCTTCTTCAGACATGCTGTGACCATTAAGATACAGTAGTTTAAGACACCATTAAGAAATGACACAATTCTGATAAAACCACTGCTATGCAAGCCGTAATTGTCTAACCCAATCATCACTTTACAGGAACCATTTTATTAGGCTGCAGTAGAGGAAAGGGAAGGAGAAGAGCTACTCCTTTTTAAAATTACTATTTATGGAACATAATGTTCTACATAGAATTATATAAAAAGAAGTAAAGTTAGACAGAACAAAATATGAGAAACAAGAAAATGAACAGAAATAAATTGTTTATGATATCGATATTGATCACAAAATATTACACACTATAGAAAGTACTGAAAGAGGAATTCTATGAAGATTATTTGGCAGGGTAACACTCAGATATTTAAGAGCACACACTCTTAAACATCTGAGTGTTTCTGAGAGAACTGAGCTTATGTATTAGACTGAGCCCCAAAATGTCATGTTTAGCTATACTGATAAATAAACCAGATGCATACCCAAACATTTTGATAAGTCTCAGGACACACAGCAATGCTGTAACTGGGTGACAGGCTGTGGTGACTATATCATCTTCAAACAGATTTAACAAGCAAGTACACTCCCCATTTGTACAACTTTCATAGGAAGATCAGACCTAAACTGTCAGAAGCCATGGAGTCATTGAGACACTTTATACCAAATTGCAAAAGAAAAAAAGAAAAGAAAAGAAAGGCAAATATTATAACACTTAAACAACTTTTTCTCAGTATGAACTTTTGTGGATCAAAACCTTATTCAGATGAAGTGCCTTTTAAAAATTTTGTTAATATGCTAACACAGCTATTTCTTTAGATATTCAAATAGTTTTGTTATGATGTGTGATACTGAATGAATGCTCAATGGGACAAAAATCTTTTTGCTGATGTAATGTTTGCCAGATTCTCCTAATCTGGCAGTTATCGTGCTGACAAACAATTTGGCATCTTGGTTAATAAGTGCGATTGGTCCATAGGAGTTTACTTCCCTTGGCCCTTTATCAGACTTATTATTAATAATATTCATGTTCCATCAAGTGAGTTCTGATTTACGGCGATCCTTTTAAGGATTTTCTAGGTAAAGAGTACTCAGACCTGGTTTACCATTCCTTTCTTCTGGAGGTATCCTGGAACTCTGCAGCTTGCCCAAGGCCACACAGGTTGCCTCTTTTGGGTTGCACAGTGGGGAATTGAACTCCCAACTTTTGGTCCCAAAGCCAGATACCTAACTCACTGAGCTATCCAGTCGGCTTTTACACTCTTAGCCTAAGAACAAAGACTATCTTAGCTTTACTGATCCTTACTTGCTCTGGGGGGTTTTTGGCTGAAGAACAGAGCAAAAAATGCTTCAAACGGAGCATTTATAAGAGAACTTGCATTTCTACAGGATATGTCCATCTTCAGCTAATCAGTATTGATACTACCACTCAGCAAAGGAAAGAAGCCAGAAGAGAACATTTCCCTAAGCACACTGAAGCAAGTTCTTACAGAACACAAACATTAACATACAGATTTGCCCATCAGAACTGGAGAGGGACATACAACCTATAAACCACATTTAGAAGAGAAACACAGTGAGTCTTCTGTGACAGAGTAGAAAGATCACAGGCATCTCCAAAAACATTATTCTGCTCTGGACTCCAGAGGCAACAGGCACATGCTGAGAATTGTACGTAATAGCACTGAACAGCACACGACAGGATGAGCGCATACAGTGCTTAACAGAAACTCACCAGGAAGCCTGTTCATGTTGACACCTTGGGCTGACAGTCCTATTCCCATGTACCTTCAAACAAACAGAAGTTTGTTAGTTCAACAAATTGAGAATGGTCAAGCAAGATCACACAACACTGTTTTTCCCTACTAGAAGCATCGACGTAAGTCAGTTACTGGTCAATGGAGACTGCAGTCAGAATCCTCGTATCACCCGATCTAGCCAGGTGGGGCTACTGAGGAGCCTAACACCAAGGGAGGCCCAGAAAGACAAAACAAGACATTGGGCCTTCTCGGCAGTGGCTCCCAATCTCAGGAACAAACTCCCCCCCCAAGATCCGTTTGGCTCCCTCGCTGGGCATTATTAAAAACCAACTCAAGACCTGTTTATATAGACAGGCCTTCCCTCCGGGCATTACTTAACTTACCTCTTCTTTTCCTTTATTTTTAACTATTATCTACTGTATAAATGTTGAAAACTGTCAAAATATATTAACTGTTTTTACTCTGTGTTTTGTGAGCTGCCCAGAGTAGACTATGTCTAAATGGGCAGCATATAAGCTTAATAAATAAATAAATAAATAAATTCCCTCAGTCAGCTGCCCAGGACAGTTCTTTTAATTAACTAATTAATCAGCCTTGCTGAGGTGCTCAAAACATGTCTAAATTTCTTGGAAGCTTAGCGTCTGTCAGATATAAAAATGCAAATGTCATTAAAATATGGATATAAGCAGCACAGAAACATTACTGTAGTTAATAACTACATACGTGATTCTTCTACACAGGGAGAAGCTGGAGACACCTTAAACCGGGGTGCATAGCCTAACTCTCTTGCCTACTAGTCATACTATAACTATCAGAGTTGGCAAACAGTGGTCTAGTTTTACATACATTTTGTTGAGCATACATCTCACCTTCAGCTGCATATACTTTCTTGTCCAGTGACTTAGCGAAGAGCACTGCCTATTACAGACAGCTCTTCTGAATTATCTACTACAAGCAGGAATGAGTCTCTGTCATGACAAAACTGGGTGCAAACAGCTGTTAATGTTTTCACTTTGCAATAATTGCTTGTACACTTTCACACAAAAAAAGCTCAAGAAGAGAAATTTCCACTATCAAGAAACTGTCAGCATTTAACTGCAATTTTAAACACTGCTTTACAGTAGATGCTTAAACCCTTGTTGCCATTTAGACAACGCGTCACCACAAGAATATCCATGTTACACTCTAATCTTAAATTTAATTCCCTGCTCAGTTACAGGCTACGTAAGTGAATTCTGCAAAGCCTAGAATTTACCACACAGACTGAAATCCTGTTAAATAGTTTTAATCAGAAACACTTCCACTGGTTTATTGCACAATCAGTAGAAATGGAAGCCATACAACTGATTGTGCGATCAATTTACCGCAATATAACTTTACGTTAGACCTTGACAAACATGATTCCAGCCACAAGGTTCAGCTCTCTGATATACAGTATTGCTAAGATACAAACACAATATATTATCCTGCTTACCCTGCAGTATGTACGTTTCATTGCATTTAATAGAACTAAGTACATTCAGGATGGCACCCAACATCAACTACTAGGAATAGCATTTAAAACTTTACACACATATATATCCTGCTTCTTTCTTTAGCTGATGTATCTGTGAAACTGGAATGCACCAATCGTACTGTGAAAGGTCTGACTAACTAATTTAACATATTATGTTTTGTTTTCAGACATGCAATAAAACCTATTTGTTTTGAACACAAATGCTTATATACTTAAAAGTCAGACATCAATAGCACAAATTAAAATCTCTTGATACCTGGTAATTTAGTGCATAACTGCAGAGCTTGCATGGAACTACTGCTACTACTGACTTATTTCTAATTAGAATGATAATAACATATGTAGGATATTAAAGCTGAAAAATGCCAAGAATCATAAGCCTGAAGCCCCATAATTTCATGGACACAAGAATACATTTTACTGGAAATCTCTTTAAAGTTTTTCAAGACATCGGGATATCCTTGAACCCTGCTCACTTCTTGTTTTGCTACTATATTGCAATTGCACTAAGATGCTGCCCCCAAAATTAGCCTTTGTGCCACTGTCACTGACATGCTAGATTTTAATGAATTTTAAATTAAGCTTTAAGTTTCTACAATGTATTGTAAGATGATTATGGAATGAGAGCAACCATTCTTTTCACTTCGCACTTGAGCACTTGGCAGTGCTTGTATGAAAAGAAAATGCTTTGGTTCATGGAGGTGTCTGAATCATCTTAAGGAAGTCATTTCACTTTGATTTTGCATCAGCTTTAGACCTATGTAACTTATTATGTCTAAGAATGTATTGTATTCCAGAATGAAAATGGATCACCATTAATTCATCTAAATGTGTTAACCTGCTTTATCTCTAAGAGACCACCTCTTTAGATGGTGCTACCCTATAATTTTTACATGTCTTTATGGTTCTTTTCATCTAGTGCTCGATGTCAGTATCAATTAATTTTCATTTGTTACTATGGGTAGCAGGCCTTTAACTGGCATAAACTCATGAATCTAGAAGTCACATTCTACATGATCATCTATTATCTTGGAATTAAAACAGTTTTTCAGCTACCAGAACATCAAAGTGACTGCTTGCTTACATAAAGGATCCACAGAATACTGGTACATGGATGAACACCTTCTGTCTTGGGCATTGTCATTGTACATTCAATCCCAACAGAAAGATATTTCAGATATTTAGGCTGCAATATCTGTACACTAAAATAATCAAAAGAGCAGTAGATTCACATAGTTGTTATTTATTCACACTGTCCTCAAATGTATGACCCTATCTTGGATTGATCTGATGACTTTCATGGAACTGAATACAGTAAATCAGTTGTCCCCAGGTTTGTTACATGAATGTTAACATTATTTCTGATTAAGCCTATCAGAACACTGAAAGCTGACCCAAATTTTGTGTCAAAATCAGTAATCCTCTTTTTACGCTGTAGTTAAAAGTAGAAAATGTGCCATAATTTAATGGTCAAGATTTTGATCTAAAATTACTATAGAGGGTACCCTCACATTATTATATGCCACAAGCCAGCTTTGCAGCAGTCATGAGCACACAAAGGAATTTCTTCACTCATATAGTTTATTCACCAAATTTATTTCCAATAAATCCTCTTTTCCAACTGTTCTGGAAAATGCATAATTAATTCAATTTGTGTCACTCAGGAGCATTTGCTACATAAAATATTATTATAATCCAGTTTGGTCCAAATGAATCCAGATTTACCAATTATACTGTAGTTATACTCATTCATCTGCATTATTCAACGTATTTACACAAATGTATAAAGAACACTGCTTCCACAGTTGGAACTCTACTGGAAATAAATATTGAAATAAATTCTCCCAGTCCTACTATTAAATAAGACTATTGTCCACGCACAGAGCAATTCACTCTACAACAAAGCGTGCTGCTTATATACCGCCCCATAGTGCTTCAAGCACTTTCTGGGCGGTTTACAAGTAAATTATGCAGGCTACACATTGCCACCCCCCCAGCAAGCTGGGTACTCATTTTACCAACCTCGGAAGGATAGAAGGCTGAGTCAACCTTGAGCCGGCTACCTGGGATTGAACCCCAGGTCGGGAGCACAGTTTTGGCTGCAGTACAGCGGTTTAACCACTGCGCTGCAGGCCATAAAATACTGCTTTAGATCAAAGTCTCCATCATGTCCAACAAAGAAACTTACAGTGAGTATTAGCTACCTCCTTTGCATTAGGAAACTCCACTAGAAGCAGCATTTGTAGAGCATATGAGCAAACATTACAAACCTTATGTAGATCCCTTATGTAGATCTGTCCTTTCAATCAGTCAGGCAAGTACAGCGGTACCTCGACTTAAGAACTTAATCCGTATTGGGACTGCATTCTTAAATTGAAACGTTCTTAAGTCGAAGCACCATTTCCCATAGGAATTCATCGAGAGCCATTTAATCCATATCTGCTTTTTTCGTTTTTAAGTCGAAGCTGGTTAATCCGTATCTACCATTAAGGGGTGAAATTTTTTATTTTTTCTTCTTTTGACCTAAGGTGAACTTGGGTAAAAAAAAAAGTGCAGGAAAGGGTTTTTTTTTTCTTCTTTTTTGGTTCTTAAGTCAAGACTCCATTCTCAAGTCGAAGCAACTTTTTGCGAACGGAGCCGTTCTTAACTTGAATAGTTCTTATGTAGGGACGTTCTCAAGTCAAGGTACCACTGTAAATTATAAAGTAAATTAGTATGGGCCTAAAACCATTGTAATTATTTAGGAATTTTTCTCTTATTTAATGCCTTTAAATGTACTGGTTTATTTGAACAAATTATGGAATCTGTCCGTTTTCTCAGCACATCTCTTCTTCTCAACGTCTTGCTGCATGACATAACTGGGGGAGTTGTGTCCTTTGCCTTTTACAATTGTTTTAAAGCTTTATTCAGTACTTTTAAATATTTATTTAAATTTATTTATTTAAAATGTTTTACCACACCTTTCTCCTTGAAAAGGACCCAAGCCGATTTATAACAATGAAAGACAAATTTTAAAGTTGAAAACAATGAGTATACAATGTTGGTTAACATCATTAAAAGACAGTATTTAAAATTATGAACCATGAATAAGGAGGCATCTTACAGCATTGACAGGCAATATTAAGGCAAAGATCAATAAGCATACAAAAAAATTAAAAAATGTCACTCTGACAAATGGAAAACACAAAAATGGAAAACACAAGTAGCACTAAAAATCCTGTCAAATCAGTAATACATAACAATCTAAGAATCACACACAGGTAACTGGTTTGCTGAGGGATGGCTTGCCTGAAGAGAAAGGTCTTTGCCAGCTTGCAGAAGGATAGCAAAGATAGGGTCACTTTGGCCTCCTGTGGGAGGAAATTCCCAAGTCTGGGTGCAACAACAGAGAAGGCTCTCTTCTATGTCCCCATCAGATGCATTTGTGAGGATGATGGGACTGAGAGAAAGGCCCCTGCTGAGGATCTTAACACCCAAGCCGACTCATAATGGGAGATACGGTCTTTGAGATA